ACTGACTGACTGACTGACTGACTGACTGTCCGCTGGTTATTTCCAGCCCAGCCCTCCAAGCACAAAAATCACGAGCGGCGTGCTCGGCAACCGGACGATTTCAGGCAATAACTGACTTTGTGAGATTATTATACTGAAACCACGTAGATCTCTTCTAATGGATGTGAATCAACGTAGAGCTTGTGATCAACACGTTATTGATAAGGCGAGGAGAGCATGAAGGCAACACCTTATAAAGCCCAAATCATCTGTATATCCATTTTAATATGCGCACTTTGGGATTAGATTACACCCTAATTCAATCTATAATCCATCAATCTATAAATGATGTGCCCTGAGAGTTTACAGGCTTTAGTGGCCACAATATTCCGTCTCGAGCTGATAGTTTTGATTGGTTCCTATTAATAGACAATTAATATCCTCAGCCGACTCGTCAGGTCTTCATAAAACATGGTCGTGATGATGTGAACAAGCACGGGTTAGTACCGAGTCGGAAGCACCAACGTGCTGCTCGAGCTCCGGAGCCGCTTACCTTCACCGGGCAGCAGCGGTCCTGGAATCCGAGCGCAGAGCGAGGGAGGCCGGGGATGCTGCCGCCGCTGCTCCCTCTCCTCCTCCGGATGGATGGATGGATGGATGTAAAGGGTTGGGTGTTTTCCGCTCCGCCGATCGGCTTTCTGTTACCACGCTTCCTCCAAAACCGAACCGACCCACCGCCGGTTGGGGTGGGATGGGGCGGGGAGGGGGGTGAGGTTATGGGGGAGAATAGCAGGCAACGTAATCCTGAATGGTAATGGCTGTCCTATTCCTCCTCCTTTCCCCCTTCTGTCTTCTCCTCTCCACAACCCCCCACCAGCCCTCCTCTCTTGGTCCGCTTTCACACGCACACACACACACACACACACACACACACACACACACATACACACACTCTCTCTCTCTCTCTCTCTCTCTCTCTCTCTCTCTCTCTCTTCAATAGGCAGTTTTCACGGCTCCGACACTTAACCCGTGTCTATTGAGTGTGTTAAGTGTCGCGGAAATTTGAAATTTCGGTTGTAGGCTACTCCTGCGTCATCCACCACCGCCAAACCCAGGCCGAGACGCGCATACTCACACACACACACACACACACACACACACACTTTCTCTCAATTTAAGGACGGCAGGGGAAAAAAGGGCGTTCACGTTGGCATATTTGCAGCGGCTGCTCATTCACATTTTATTCCAGGGTTCCAAGGAAGAAACAGATCAGACCGCTGGAACTTTCACATCACATCAGATAGTATTAATCTGGGTTTTTATAATCCCTCCACACACACACACACACACACACACACACACACACACACTAACCCCCTCCTCCCTCTCCAAACAGCTGGAGGAATAGAGAGAGTAGCTGGAAAGGCAATTGATTACAGCTGGAGAGGTGGAGAGGGAGAGTTGTGTTTGGGCTGCTGCTCCCAGTCAGCAGGGAGAAGGTCTTCACAGTTTGGGCTGACCTTGTACATGTAGGGTTATACCAGAGTCCCAGACCACCAAGGGCCCCCCAGACTCAAATTGCACACTGTCCCTGCAGTCTTTGACAATTATTCAGCAACATATTGTTGATGGGCTGCGCTTTGCTTAGACTGGGGAACCCTGGATCTCCCCCCCACACACACACACACTTCTCCTTTTTATATTAAATCACAGGAGAGCACTTCAACTACAACTTACATTTCTTCTTTTCTGTGATTACAGTTTTACTAAAGAAATACCCGAATCAAAACAAACTCTCAAATCAGTTTTAAGATCATCATTTGTTTAAAATAAATAATATATTTTCAATGCTTTATTTCATTTATCAGTATCACTGAGCTCTTTTACACATTACTGTGTAAAACTTTTGCAACTACACAAATTGAGCTTAATTATCACATGACATTCTGGGCCCTGAAGTCTGGTGTGCAGAACACCACACCAGAGCCTGACAGTGCTGGAGAGGTGCTCTTACAGTAGTTGTCACAATCTAATAATTGATCATGTATTAGGCTACATTATTCCTCAGGTTACTGGGAATGTTGGTCTTATTTCTGATATGATTGTCCACACTGAGGAAAAGATAAGACCTGTATCTGATCAGATTTCATGTGATTTGTGCTTTTCACACTGTCATGAAAAAACAGATCTACGGTAAATCACATATGAGCAAAAAAAATCCGATTTGTGCCACTTTTTCCTGCAGTGTGAACGTAACCTGTCTGTCTGGCACTCAGACTGATAAGGCACTGGGTCAAATGGGTGTCACTGGGATTGCTGTGTGTTTGTTGGGGGTGGTGGTGTTGGTTGCTGGCGGGTGGGCTCTGTTGCAGGATAATCCAGACTCTCTCCATCGCAGCCGATCAGCAGACGGACTGAAGTCCTGCTGGATTATCTGCTGTCGCTTTAATCAAACAGCAGCTAATGGACTGACTGACCACATGATCTGAAGGCTACTGTGATGATAAACACAGGGTAAAGTTCACTGCTATCCCTGCTCATTCCTTCATTATCAGTTAATAATTGAACAATGCTCGATTGATTATCCTTCAGTGTAAACAGGGCTGCAGTACATGACGTTCCTGACATGAATCTACAGGTCAGTGATGATGCCTTTGGCTGTGAATCCGGACAAAAAGGTAACTTACCGAATTGAAACCTTGTGATAAATTAATGTGAGTCATGGATCTACAGTGTGTACTGCACAATGGTGTACAATTCAGCTGTGATTATCTGTAATTTCCAATCTAATAAGGCCAATTTAGATTTCAAGAGGACAATAAGGCCTTCAGACACAGCTTTACTGTATGAGTCATTCTTCATGGAAAAACTTATTTGTTCACACATGAGAATTAAGGCCAAAACCTTAATAGAGTTTAATGGATCAGATTTATAGTATGATATAGATTGTGGAGATATTTCTAAACTGCCCAAGGTGAGTTCAGCACCAGTTTCTGATAACCCAACATCTTTCACTTTCAGTTTGACCTGATTACAGGCTGGACATTTAGAGTATAAATTAACCTGTGCGATCTGAAATGAAAAAGCAGTTTAAGTACCTATTTTTAAAGCCCCCCCCAGATGCTTTCTGTGATAGTAAAACATTTCTCTCTATTGCATAAATGCTCAAGCATGTTTCTTTTTACTCTTGTCACACTGAAAAGTCTTATTTAATAATCGTTACTCAAATAAAACAACGAATAATAATCACGATCAAAGCCAGGGAAATACCAAACCACCAAACCAGGACAATCTAGTACTAACCACCAACAAATTTCAGTTCATGTCTCTGTCTCACATGGTCCGGTGCCAGTTATGTAATTCTGATGAACAATACTCATTTCATTTAAGTTTATTGGTTTTTACTCTAAAAATAATCTCATTAAACCCCCCACATTTCCATAAATGTCAGAGGACATACCTCTGTGTCCTCAGTGGTAGCTACAGGCCTCCCAATTATTCTCAGGCAGAACTCTCTGCACATACAAATGAACCTGGGAACTTTAACAACAAAAAAAAACATAAATGAAACCAGGAAACTGTTAAGTGCTTTGAGCTAAAGTGAAATAAAGAGAATAAAGAAACGTTGTCTTTGTGAATTTTCTCTCCTGGTTTATCTGTGCTCTTGGCTCCATCTTGTGGTGCGTCACAGAGCCTCCTAATCCCATCAGTCAGAGTTAAATGCTGGTAATCAAATCAAGGAGGTCAAACGGCATCCGTTCATATCAGCCTCTCATCGGAGTGGTCCAGACGTCCCTCTGGAGCATTTACTCGTCAGTCCATCGAATGATTTGCTAAAATTAGGTCAGTGGGTTAAGAAAATAGACTTAAACTTCCATTCACAGCCGTGACACAGCTAGACACAATATAAGACCACCACAGCTGGAGGAATGACAGTAAATCGTTCACCACTTAACCAGCTGTGAGTGAGGCCATTATATAAGTGAAAGCTGTTGGTTTGCTGCATCTCGTCACTCACAGGCTCACTGGTTTCAATTATTTTCTGCCTTTTTATAACGCAACCATGAAGCATTTGGGGTGTTTTGAATTTATTGCTTCACTAATCAGACCAATAATTAGCAATTAGCAATCCACATTAGGGCTTTGAGACTAAACATTTAAAGAACAATGAAAACTAAATATAAGGATGTAACATCTTACTGACATAGTTTTTAAAATAATAACACACGATTTATTATAAATTTTAATATATAAAAAAGTACAATATTTTCCCTCTGAATTGTAGAAGAGTAGAAGTAGCTCAAATTTAGTCAGTGTTGGACTAGTTACTCAAACTATACTTATTACTCTTTTCAAAAGTAATATTACTTTCTGTCAAAAGTAACTACTTATATTACTAGTTCTGTTGCTTTCCCCCAAAAAATGGTAATTATGTCTCCCAAAATTCAGATTTACGATTTCCAGTTTTGTTTGTTAAATTCAAAGTAATTAAATATTTCCAGCTGCTAAATGTAAGTGTCTCCATCTTCTAAACTAGTTTCCTCCACGATTACAAAAATTAATCCAACTATGTGATCATATTGTTGGGTAACAGATCAGTAGGGGTGGCCAACAAAAGCATTATAGTAACTAATTATTTTTTGGGGGAGTAACAAATAGTATTACTGAAATGTATTAGTAATTAGTTACACTATTAGTTACTGGAGAAAGTAATGTTATTACTAGTAATAACAGGACAATCAGTGAACAGTATCACTTCACTCCAAATGACTTCCAAAAAAAAGTATCTGCAAGTACTAGATTTTTACAATTTTTATAAGCCTAAAAATAAAGCTAATTAAATAAAAAACGATAGAGTAAACTGTATTTTTAAGCTTTTAATTTGTAAACCTCCTCAATGAATAATTCTTTGAATAATCCATGACCAAAGTCACATTCTGGTTAACTGCACACAGTATCTCTGTACACTAAACAGAGAGAAAGAGAAGAAGACAGGGAAGAAAAAGACGAGAAGACGAAAGTAGATGATAACATTTATTTGCAAACTTGTACAGGTGAACAGGAAATAGTGATATATGATTTACTATACACAGGAACCGAACTGCGGACAGCTGTGTGTTCCTTCATGGTGTCTGCTCTGCCTGGCCCGCGTGGCAGGCTGGTGGTGTGTAGGACCCCTCCTTTATCATCTTTTCACGCTGCTTACGGATCGCCAACAGCCTAGCGCTCTGCAGGGAGGAAGAGAGGAAAAGATTAGCGTTGGGGCAGAACAGGACGGAGAGTGAGAGAGAGAAAATAAAGTTATTAAAGATAATGTTTCACATCCCTCCACCTAGGAGGATAAAGTCAAAGATAAAAGTGGACTCTGAGCTGATTTAAATCAGCACTTCATCTCCATCATGCTCTGAAAGAATGAGACGTGGCTAATAAACAAATCAAGGCGTCTGGATCCAGGAAAGGAAGTTCCTGCTGCTGCAGCACATTCACAATGAGTGGGCAGTGCATCTGTCAGTCTCTCCTCTGCTGACACACACAGAGCTGAGAGTGACCTCAACTTAACTCCGACATCATTTTAAGGATTAGACGTTGGTGCCTTTTTAAACACGCTTTGGTTATTCATTTCTAATTTCCCCTTTGTAAACTGGTTTTCACTCCTGCTTGATACATGCTCCCCTCTCTTCCTCCCTTCAATCCATCACACCAAACTCCATACAAGACTCAGGCTTCAACGTTTGCTTAGGTTATCAGAAATGCCAACATGTTCGATATTAAGGCCAAATGAGGAATCTAAATCATACATCTAATACTTTCTTATTACTTTCTCTCAGCTTTCATTGCTTAAACTGTGTGGAAAGAATTAAAAAAAAACCTGCATTGCAGAACCAATCCAACGTCTTTAGGGCGGTGACATGGCAGTGACGCGCAGAAGTCATGTGCTTGTGAAAACTGTCATACCATATAACGTTGTTCAGGACACTCATTATCAATGTTTTAAAAAGCTCTCTGCGTGTTACAAAGTGATTCACTATATCTGCAGTTCGTTTCACCACAGAGGAGAATGGTTTACGGTAAACTTACGGTAAACTTACGGTAAACTTACGGTAACCCATCGTTCGCGGTAAGGCTTGTCCTTTAAGTGAGGGGTGTACATTTGTTAGGGGCCGTTCTCGCTGCAATTCAAGCTACTTCTTTGCATTTAGAAATCCCCAGACAACGATTATTAGGTGCCGAGATGTGCCATCATATGGTAATGTGAGACTAGCCCGTAGCTAAACCTAAGCAAACCGGCTTAGACGGTGTTAGACAGGGCCTATGAAGAGTATTCAACCCCTTTGGACTTTGCACAATTAGACATTTTTAGCTATTTTTATTGATATGTTAATATCTTAGTGGGCCAATAACAGATCCAGATAACCAAAGGTCACATTATCAAACAGCAAGTGCTGCTAAAAACAGCTGAAGCCAGTCACAAGCAGTCATTTCTCTGAGCTCCAGGCTCCAGTTGTGTTCACAGCAAGCACTTTCATTCCCTGCTGGCCCCGGCATACTGATTCTTTATTTCCATTGCAGTGGCAAATTACAGTGACACAGTACGTAACATAACAAAAGTGACCATGGCGCTGCAATATATGCACCCTGGTCTCTTAAACTATGACCCAGTAGTGTATTCAAGAACACTTCATAATTCAAAAGCTGGTAACTGCACCCAGAAGTCGTCCACACCCAGACACTTACTGTCTTTTCCCTGTGTAGACACTCGTAGAAGTCCTCAAACTCCACCTGGCACTCCTTCTTGGCGCGGGTCTGTCCGATGCCGCTGGAACATTCAATCCACTCCTTCTCAAAGGCGTGGCAGCGTGCCGCTCTCTTGTGGGGCTGCGCTCCGCTCTGCATCAGAATCCAGCGGTCCATGTTGATACCGAGCCGCGACTGCAGGTCCACGAACGGCATGATGCTGATGATGGAGGAGTAAGGGAGGGACAGAGGAGAGGACGAAACAGGGGAACACACAGATTAGGGCGTGTTTATAACCTCAGACACAGGTCAGTCAGGAAGATTATACAGCACCACATTAATTAAACACGAGTAAATCAGCAGTCACTTGTTGCAGTATGAACAGGGAGCTGTGGCTGGTCGATTTCAGACACAAAATAATGGTTTATTATTGAGTTGACTGGTGGATTTGGGCATTTATCTGTCAGTGGCTTTTAGTTGTTTAAAAGTTAGAAAGTTTTGTGGAAAATTCCTATTTTCAGCATTGTTTTGTTTAATTGTCTTGATTTCTTTTCTTCATTTCTTTGGTCTCTGGTTCTTCTTGTTAGCATTGAATTATACACACACACACACACACACACATATATATATATATATATAAATATTACATGAGGGACTGACAAAGTGCTTGCAGCCCCAACCTTTACCATCTGGGTTCAGCCTACCTGTTGTATCTCCCCAAAAAAAGTGTGCAAATAATTTAGATACCACAATACAGAAGACTGAGAGAATTATCTGTAATGCAGTTAAGAGATTCAAGTATGTTCTAAAAGTATGTCACATAATTTCACTGTGATACTGCGATAATATCGTGCATCGCAATTATTTTTAACTTGAAGATAATCGTGACACTAAGATAAAAGTCCCAGTTTCAGGTGGAAAACAGTTGAATATATCAGGACTTCCACATGTTCCTGCACATATAACTAACTATTAACAAACACAAACAAGATGCAATGCAGTGCAGCATGAGAGCACAACCCCAGCTCATAATAACACAGGAGTGCTGAGTCACTGCTTCACTACAGACTCCAGTGGATTCAATTATTGATCCAATTACATAAAATCATTAAATACAATCACTCATCAATAACCAATTCCCTCCAAATACTGGCCCCCAAACAATGACAAGAGTTAGATCCAAACTAAAGTCACTTTGAATGAATGTATTATTTAATAACCCTCCAATAAACTCTTCAATCTAATAACAAATCAATACTATTGCTTAGCCGTGCACAGCTAACGCTACCTAGCCCTCAGCTACCTACACTTTCTCTACAGAAACACTTCAATCTACGAGCTTAGCATCTCTCACATGAGTCAATACACGTCCACATTAACTACCACTGACACTAACCCTCCTCTAAATCTGTCCCTGGGTCAGATGTTTGTTGTCATTCACCGTTTTCAGATCTCCTTCAGGGCTGTTCGTGCTAACCACACTCGCTCCGTTCACACAGCTGGTGCTACTTTCACTCGAGCCACAAACTAAAACGAGCAAGGCGTCGTGGAAGTGGACATATTATAATAAATTAAAAGGTATTTACCGTGTTTTTTTTTTTTTTTTTGTAGGGTTCACTTTAACCTTCCTTCGAGTCCACGCGTTGTGCTTTATGGCGGAAGACAACACGGTCGTAAAAACGATTGGCTGTGTCGTGAAGAGAGCTGTGCTGTAAAGCTGCGCTACCGCCGCCTGCTGGATTAAACGGAGATGTTCAGTAAAACACTCAAACCACAAGAAAACCCCCCAAAATATATTTATATTTTCCACTTTGTCTCATCAAGAAGATTTTCTGATGTAACACTGTCTTAATTTCTTCATTCATTTGTTAAGAAGAGATTCAAGAAGCTTTATTTATCCCGAGGGAAATTACTGTGCATCAAAGGTGGGAAAGTAATACAGGGTTAGAGTAAAAATAAAGGCTAACATAAAATAAATTAAATAATAAAATAAATAATAAAATAAAGGCTAACATAAAATAAATCAAACAATTAACTAAATGCAACAAAATGCAAGCACTTACAGGTAACATAAGTAGAAAACAAACAAACAATAAATAAATGTGACAAAATACAACAAAAAATTGCAGTTAAATGTAGGTATATACAATATACAACAATACGTACTGTGCAGTTTAGTAATTAATCAATTATATATACTTTATTCCAACGGCACATGTTGATTGGATTCTGGTTGATCACAGGTACACTCCTGCTTTTATAATGTGTGGCCACCTAAAACAGGTAATAATGTTCTCCCTCCGGTCTGCTCCCCTATTCTGTACCAGCATGCTCATGTTATGTGTGTAGTTATGTCACCGTGGTCGTCCTCTTGAAGCACTTTTTAACCTCAGCTGTACTTAGTGGGACTGTAAGTAGATTATATGCACTTCACATGACTGTTTGGCTCACCTTCAACACCTACAGCAAACATTCAAACCTTCCTTATGTATTATAAATGAAAGGTTTCAAAATAAAATGTATTGTGTACATAAAGATTTTCCAGACAATACAAACTATCAGAACCAGGTTACTATATTACCTGTGTGGCAGTTTTTGAGGAATTTCATTTGTATTTGTATCAAAGGTTTTTCTCTTTTATTGTTCATTTTAATCTTTTGTGTTGTTTAATCTATCTACATTTATATATTTAGATGTTTTAAGATTTTGTGCATTTGATCAGAAGAACATAATTGTGACATAACTGTGTGATGAATCTTTTTTTTTTTCTACCAGGAGTGTTTTGTGGACAAATGCACCTATTTATGTATATTTTCAACACAACACATATTAATGACAATATATTTTTGTTGAAAAGCAGCCTAAAGCAACTCAAAATGACATGTAAAGTCTTTCTGCAACAATTTTTCTCACTAATATTTGGTACATTTTCATATTCTCATGACTTCATCCAGCTTCAGTAAGAGACGGAAATATGTAACGAATGAATTCTGTTACTGTGCAGTTATTAAATGTGTGTTTGACAGAGAACTTACCAGCTGTCATTCGCTTTCCTCCGACGCAGTACAATAAATAAACAGTCGGTGCTTTGGTGCAACATCAGATTGTGTTTATTTAATTTTTCCCCAAAGGTCCACAAGTTGTCTTTCACAGTCCTGCATGTACAACCCCACACAGGGCAGGGCTTTAACAGTGACAGGAAATACACAAACAATATAATAACACTTAAATATTGCTATCTATATACTCTAAAACCTTTTTCAAATAAGGACAGGACCACCTGTGGTCTTAATGGGACATTTCCATTAACACTCACACTCCGTCCATGGTACATTCGTGTGTTTTCTCACAGGCAGGCAGGCAGAAACAAGTGATAAGTGCAGACCAAACAAAGCACTGCCACGTTATATAAGCAGCTAAATCCATAAAGCTACTCTGAGATGAAAAAGGTTCCCAAGTTGATTCCTTGCAGATTAAAGGAAAACCTGGTAGAAAACCTTTTTAAACTGAAGCACAGAGGTGATACAAAGCTTAGAAACAAGTCAGCCTATAGTGAGTATGATTAAGAAGAGCTTATCGGCATCAATATTTGAAGTGTTTGGCTCCAAAGGTGAAACTGACTTTTGATAGATGATTAGTAAAACATAAACTAACAGAGTAAAATATAGAAAATAAGATAAATACAATCCTTGAATCACAGAACTGATAAAAACAGGATACCCTTAAAAATACTGAATGATAAACTGGTCAAAGCGTTTATTTCCAAAAATGGTTATGTGATGTTTTGGAGTCAAACTCTTCTTTAGTTACATCCAACATAAAAGGCCTTCTGGTAGGTGATTTATTTTGGTTGTACCACAGACTTTAATAAGCACATGAAGTAAACTCATTCATAGCAACAGATGATGAATCGCAAAAAAAAACAAAACAAGGAAGATAAATATGATAAATTCAGATAAAGTGCACAAGTGCTCATTCAAAAAACAAAGTGGGACAAATACATTCAACAGGCGTCCATTCATTCTCACACATACACACATACACGTTCAAGTGGGCCAGACAGCCAGTTTACACGTGTGTGTCAAACACTGATCCAGAACCAGCCAGTGAGAGAGTTCTGACAATGACCAGTGAGCAGCAGCCAGTTTAAAGTTGGTAGTCAAGTGTTCGATGTCTGGTGGATGAATTCCTACCAGCGGAAAATATTTACAGCTTCGGTGACCAGTCTAAAAAAAAGATCACAAATCACAGCTCTAATAATGAAAAAATCTGGTTCCAGCTTCTCCGATGAGGAATCGCTTGTTTTTCTGTCATATATGATAATAAACTGATGGACTGTTAAGAAATCAAGCAAGTCACATTAGGCCCTGGAGATACTTTTCAATATTTTCTGACTGTTTTATTTGGACATTAGCTTTTTTTTCTTTTCTTTTCTTTTCTTTTCACAGTTACTGAAATTAATCCACCTAAAAAATGAATGGTGAAATGTGATTTTGGTGGAACTGCTAACAACTTATAGACAGAAAAATGACGACGAAGGTCCTAAGCCAGAAAAGATGAATCAAGAAAATAACTGGCAGATGAATAAATAATGAAAAAAGTTGTTAGATGAAGCCCCAGCACAAATCCATACACACATTAATACTGTTATGGTTACCAGTAGCTTGGTATTACTGTACTGTATATTTTGTGTGTACTAACATATTAACATGGTCTTAAGTTAATAAATCTGAGGTTACATTACTGTTTTAAAGGTTAACATGTGTTGTGTGTGTCACTGTGCCATATAATCAGTGGTGTAGTGGTTAATACAGAGGTGGGTAAACTGTAGTTGTTTAACATTACATTCACATAAATTTATACTTGTTAAAGTTGAAATGATAAATGTGTGTTTGATGTAAATCTCAGTGCAAATCAGTGAGACAAACTTGGTCTGTCCAGAGTGTGAAAAAGCTCCTACACTGTATAAAATGGCTTCTCTCAGTGCATTTCACCGCAGTGTCTTCTGGCCACGTCATTGTCAGATCTCAATCACTTATTTCTGTAATTCGAAAACTAATTCGGACTCTTTTTGTCCCCATGTCCATCCTCCCATTCCTCCTCTGCTGTGCAGAGATTCAAGTGCAGGATCATCCCCTCAAGTAAACTTTATCTTTCACCAGTGTAACAGAAACACACTGCCCTTTTAAACCTTTCACACAAGGTGTGGCTCATGCAGACTCGTGCACACAGCAAATAAAAAAATTTCAAGGTCATCTGAATATAAATAGAGGAAAAGAAGAAAATAAAGCCACAATAGTCGAGTACAAAGTCCACATTCATTCACACATTGTTAGAAACATCCCCTTCGTCCTCAGGAGACATCTGTTTTCCCGACAATCCTTCTCCCTCTGCTGTGCTTGGTGACATTTCACCTTATTTCATAATTTCAATTTTGCAATATTTCTTGTGGTAAATTTGTACTTTTTTTTTTCCTCCTCTTTTTTTTTTTTTTTTGCTTAAGTAGCCAAGGCATTTTGCACCAAGGAGTAAACATAAATCATCATCTTATAAATCTCAGAGGTAGAACCCTGACAATTTACTCAGTGAGGAGATTGACAGGTAGATAGATAAGACAAACAGACAAAAGTAAACAAACGCTGTCCGTGTTTAAGACGGTGTCTGTGAGTCGCAGAAGCAGCAAATGAGAAATGACAAAAGGAAAAAAAAAACAGCGATGAAGTAAAGGAAAGCTCAATGAAACTTTTGGGGGATTGGTTAGTTTTTTTGTGCAAATCTGAGAGCTGCTGTTCTCTCAGACGTAGAGGATGACATTGCTGTCTGCGGGACAGTGAAGGCCTTCGGGGGGGTTCAGGGCTCGGCAGGAGGGGGGCTGGGGCTGCTGGCCAGCCGCCTGGTGACAGCTTTTCGGGTGAGGCGAGTCACAGTCGTCTGACGTCAGCTCTGCGATGTCGTCTGATTGAGTGTCCGACATCTCCAGGTCACTGCGGATGCTCTCCGGTTGAGCCAGGGTCACGTCTCGGAGCCCCTCCCTGATTGACGCTCCCGGTGACAGCCCCAACGCCGAGCCAGACAAAGCCCCGCCCCTTCTGGAGCTGCAGTCCTGAGGCTCCTCCCCTCCTGAGACAGTTGCCATGGCAGCAGAGCCCGCGGGCGGGGTTAGGTCCTCTTCGCTGGTCAGGCAGAGATGGCTGGGTTTGGTCTCGATGTCCACCTGGATCTCCAGGTTGGTGCACTCCCTGCAGAGACACCATTTACAACAAGTCAGTCACAGTTTGATGCTTCTGATGTTGTTATTGAACAGACTCTAACGGCCTGGACACACAGTAGCTTCCACACAGAGACTTCTGATAAATACACTACGATAAAACCCCCGTGCACAGAAATGCTACAGAGCTTTTAATTTGAAACAGATTTGATTTTGAAGTTAGTTATCTATAAATATTTGTTTTGAAAAATGAAAGATGAGGTAGAAATCATACAGAATTTGCTGCAGGAAATTGACCTTTTGATCCACTGATGTGTTAAGATGATGAATGTTTAAAAAGTTGACTGTAATATAAGGAACCCGGAAGCAACCTCAGACACCACCCTGATGAAGGCAAGATAAGTGAAACACTGAACAAGTGGTGTACTGGAGAATAGTTATGTAGCATATTTTAACTGATGGATTCAAATCTGCTGAAATAACTACGCAACCATTCAGAGGAACCCTTCGGTTAACAGGAATATCAACAAGAGAAGGAACACAGCTTTCCTTTTATGGCGGCGACATGCACACACACGTAGCTCTGCTTTGATGTTGTGATATGGTTTATATGCTGTTAAGTACCTGCGTATCTATGTTTTTAGGCATTGCACCAAAGACAAGAACATGAGATAATGGCAGAAAGCTGACGAGTCATCAGATTAGCTCTAATTCTGTTATCTCAGTCACATCACATCCAAATCAGATCTGACAGAGCGACAGACGAAGCCTCGGCCTGACAGACAGGAGAGGAGAGGAGAGGAGAGGAGAGGAGAGGAGAGGAGAGAGAGGCTTTCCCTCTCACCTGTCAGGTAGTGTGTAGGACGAGATGATGGATCCGGCCATTCCACGGGTGCTGGCACAGTCGCTCCCTGCTCCCAGACTGCCCGTCTCCCTCTGGGCTGACTCTTTAGCCAGCTCCCCTGCCTGCACCTCCAGCCTGAAAGGAGAACAAACAGTCATATAATGCTGTTGTACCAATACATGAAATGATTACCTCTGCAAATGGAGGCTATGTTTTCACCAACAAGTTTACGAACAAATGTTTCATGCAATTTGCTACAGGCATGTTCGCAGGGTTGAGAAATCCACTTCAAATTGAGCTTGATTGTTCAGTTTCAACTTTGGAAACAATAGTTGACAAAACAATCTCACCACAAAGTCTGTTTAATAGCTGTTCTGGGGCTTGTGGTGACATTGTTTTAGTCAACTATTGTTTTCAAGGTCAAAAATGTACTTTTAATCTCAACTTTTACTTTTACTTTTAACGTGGACGAGATGTCCTTATAGGGCTACATCTCCATCTGCTGAGGAAGGCCGTGTGATAGGACTGAAAGCTCCTCAGCAGATACTAAATGGATATTGTGGTGTGATTACAGTTTAATGTAAAGGAGTGATGTCTTTGGATAAAATAGCAGGCTGGATAATTCAAGCCTTTAAGATATTAACATTTTGGAGAGAAAAATACAGTATATGTTTAGTTTTAAGTTCTTAAAGTAAGTAAAAAATATCTCAGTATGGAAAAAATAAAATTAATTTCCTTATGAATAACTTATTTATAGGATATAAGTAGTGAACGAAAGTACAGTACAGTAAGAAGGACTTCAATTTGAGATTCTCCTCACCTGCTGTACTTGCTGGTGCGGGTTCCCAGTGCGCCGCCTGCCAGAGTGTTAAAGTGGGGTGTGTCACCCAGAGTCCCAGGGGCCCCAGAGAGCCCCTCGCTGGGGGACGTGGTACTCAGACCACTGACTGCCCCGTCCAGACTGCTCTCACCGAGGCTCGGGGACTTGAGGGCTCGCCACGCGTCGGCCACTAGAGAATTAGACGGAGAGTATTGTTTATTGTGGATGTGAAAAGCTGTCATTTAAAGATCCCGTGACTGCCATCCTGCTCCTGTTGGTTTCAGTTTGGCGTCCTCACCTGTGATTGGACCGTCGTCCTCATCAAAGTCAATCCGTACACCTCGTCCCTTCCCTCTGCTGACACCACAACCTCCCCCTCGACACAGAGAAATGGGCACCACGCCGTACACGTAGGCCAACATGATCGGCACACCGATACCTGAAACGGGACAGAAGCAGAAGTTGTTTCATCCTTGTTTGGTTTGAATGGGAACTTTTAACTGTGATATATTTTTGAGCTTATTATAGTTAAAAAAGAGTTAACTGAAATGAAAATAAGAACTGGACTTTAGAAATAAATCAAAACTAATTGAAAGGATACAGTGTACTTACAAAATGAACTAAACTAAAGTAAAAACATACAGGAAATGTCTGCAGTTTGAATCTTTGTCAATTTGGTCCACGTTGTCAACATAAACGCATATGTTTGAGACTGGGATATCTACATGACTGTGAGTCAATTGTATTCACAAAATGTGGTTGTTTTGTAATAACTTTTTAAATCCAAAACAAAAACAAACACTAATAATAACAAAACTAAAACACTTTTAAACAATAAAAACTAAACTGAAATGACTGAACACACTCTGGAAACTGACTGACATAAAAACTAAAGTTAAAAACTAAAACTAAAAGTAAAACAAAAAGTAAAAGTAAGGAAAAATACAAAACTATGATCATTTTGTTCAGACGAGACGTTGGAGAAAAAAGTGGATAATCATTGTGAAAGAAGAAGTAGATTCATTGCGTCCTTTCATCATTGTCTGGTGAATTTCTGCTCTGGCCACGCATTGCCTGACATAAAGAGGAGTTTACTGTATGATCCCAAAAAAGTTCAAGAATGAAGTAACAAAGAAAGCAAGAAAGAGAAGAAGAGACAAAACAACAGCAAGAGAGTTCATTAAAGATACAATTTTATATTTGGGAAATAGGTGATTCAAGTCTCCATCTCTATCATATATCATATATCATATTTGTCTGGTTGTAGTTGTTCATTATATAACGGCATGAATCTAAAACGTGGGGTATTTTTCATTCCGTAAAGAAGCTCATCCCTTGTCCTAGGTGGCGCCCAGCAGTGGGCGTCTACATACCGATAAACAAACTTTGCTCTGTTTGCTTTTGAGAGAGTCACAGTAGCATAGCAGACGACAGCGTTGAGTTTCTTACCGACGCTGACAGCCGCGATGACCGGGGCGGTGATAATAGACAGGGCCACGCCTCCTGTGATGGCGAGGTTCCTTCTGTGGCGGGATGACTTCTTCAGCTCGTAGTGGGCGTGGATCTGCGGCAGAAGAGATGGAAAGAGACGCTCAACACACACCTCAAACACTTCAGAGCTTAAGCTGAATACGAATAAAGGCGGGGATCAGACGACTGGTGAATTTAATATGGTGAAAACATGAACAGAGAAACCACTCATGTGTCACTGGTAGATGATTCACTTCAGCACTCTGTGGTAACTAATAGACAAACAGTCATGTTGAGTAAGTGTAGGTAAATATCCGTTGAATGAAACACTGTAGACCCATTGTAACTGATGTTCAATGGGTACAGTGTGTTGGTTTCAGGTTTTCTGATGAACAGTTCTGTATTCATCCACCATGCAACTGCTGCAAACAAAAAATACAAATAAATGTATTCTTCTAAAAAGAAAAATGCATGTTTTGGTTTTGGCCATGTTCAGACTCTATCAAGGCTGTAGCCACGATTTTAGAAGACCAAATTCCTCCTCGAAAGAGCTTTTTATTAAAATGTTTTCATGTTTTCTAAATTCACCTGCTGTTCCTCCACACTGCCAGGAATGTAACTTGTAAAAAATGGCAAATCCCACTCTATTTTAGGCAAATTAAAGTATATAAAACCATCCTTAAAAACCCCATCATGTGTAATCTGTGTGTATTTGTAGAATGTAAACTCCTCTTGAGGTTGTTAAAACCCTTAAATTCTCAGAAACAACACCAAGGACACGACCTCGCTGTCTACAGTGGCAGCGTTGGTCCCAGACTTTGTGTAAATACTGGTTAGTGGTGACAGTTTCTCACCAGAAACAAACATACAGAGCTACAAATACTCACTAAAACTAACACAACAGAAAAAAATCACCTAGTAAAAAACAGCATGATACTACAGAAAGCTTTTCCTGCAGGGATTCATTATGATTCATCTTTGATCTCCATTTTACACACAAACCTATTTACACTAAACACAAGATTCTTTTTAGAGAACAAAATCTGTGTCAGAACTTGTCATAGAGAAACAAGGCTGCTTCACTTTTCTCACTACCTAAATTAGCACTGAAACAGTTCCTGAAATTATTCAATCAGTAATTTCTCGACTAAGACGGCCTAAGCTCAAACGCTCGGGCAGGTTTTAACACGGGGGAGGCGAACCGCTTTCATCACAGTGTGAACACAGTGCTAGATCTTTAAAAAGGCTAAAATGTGCTGTTTTACTGTTCGCCACAAGAGAGCGCTGCAGACTTCCTTCCTGTAGTGCCCTTGTAGTTGTTATGTAGTTATGAGACCATTGCCTTTTTAGCACATGCTGATAATACACCTTCATAAACAGCAAAAATATGAAAAAGCCATGATACAATCACATTTAGGGAGAAAAAAAAAGGAATTTAGAATTGTACAGGATTTAGAAAGCCCAGATTACGACATTTAAAGACTTTAGGCCAATAAAAGGCAGAGAAACTGAAGTGGTTTCCAGTAGAGGATGTACAGTTGTGAACTAAAAGTGAACAGGAAATTCTATTTCTGGTCCCATTCACTGCTTGTGAATCATTTATTGTATTTCAGATCTTGAAATTCCAGCATTACTCAATCTAAAAGATCTTTCTTCATAAGAAAAATGATTGAGGTATTCATTAAATTTAGATAATTTTAGTTTAATTTAGTTTAATAATTTTAGACTCTAATGTTACCAAACGTCTGTGCAAGCCATCATTCTTCAGGCCAGTGACGTGAATGAAAACTGTCAAAAGGAACTGAAAGTACTTTTCTAGAAAACGTTTAGCATTGTGTTCACAATGAAGGCAGCATACTGAAACTTAGAAAAAGTTTTCGTTCTGCAATGTTGTAAATTCCGGATAATCACCAGAGGAATACTGTGAAAGAATGACTGTGGTATTGCTGTAAACTATTTGTGTTAGTTGCCACAGCTCTGTGGTTTTCCACTTCTGGTTTCTGTAGCAGTGTAGACTAAGATAAACGCTAAGTGCACTGACCATAAAGAGTAAAAAAAAGTGTGAAATTTTTAAGATGACAGGAAACGTTTGTCTGGTTACCAGGCACTTCTGATGTTTATAGAGTTGTATTAATAAGGCACAGTTTATGAACTTTCATGATGCTTATCAGTCCCTCTTAAAATGTCTCTCCAAGTCTCTTATTTAAATGTTCTTTTCACAGCTTTTTCAATTCATATCCTGGATTTAGTCTGCAATCAAATAAATAGGTTTGTGATCATTAACAAATATTAATCTTTAATAAAGTAAGATACAAACACAGAGTTATATGTATGCATTTTCTTTAAATCACGCTCACTATTTTCTGCTTTTTTTCTCTAATTATATATTGAAACCTTGTCCCGATCATTCAAAGATCAAAGCACTGCACTCTTTACTCAAGGTTTATTGATTAAGTAGTTAGTTTACTTCCTCTACTGTTTCTCACCTTGCGGCCAACGTAAACGGGGATGCCGATGACCATGGCGGGAACAGCGATGCCTGCGATGAGGGTGATGCCAACTGGAGCTCCGATCAGGGTTCCCAGCTGCCACAAAATCTTCTTCTTCCTGCTCCAAGGTTTCTTCCCCCAGAACGTACAGCCAGATGGACTGAGGGAGGGAAACACAGAGGGAGAGAAGAAGAGAGGGAAAGATGAGTTATGGTTTACAGTTGCACATCTGAAAAATCTAAAGAAGTCGAACATACAGCTGATATACGAAGTGAAATAATACATTTCAGTACCTGAGGTAGTGCAGGTCGGAGATCTCCTTCATGCAGAGCCAGCAGAACTCACAGCCGCAGACGGCGCAGGTCATGTGATTGCAGCTCCCATCATTCATCTTGATGATGTAAGCGCCGCAGCGAGGGCAGGGCTTGATGTCATCAGCTGGGGACAGAGGGAAGACGAGTTTAGTGACGTCGCTCGTATCAAGACATGAACGGTTCAAAGTAAGTTTTTCTTTAATTTCCTTTTGTTGCACATGGGGTCGAGTTGTAAAAGGAATATTTTGACATATTGGGAAATATGCTTGTTCGCTTTCTTGGCGAGAGTTATGGCTTCCCATCTAACTCTCAAAAAGAAAGTGAAGAAACATACTTCCCAAAATGTCAACAGTTTTCCGGCTTCATTAAAGTACCCAACAGCCCCCTCGAATTCCAAAATGTCCTCCCAACTCACTGTTTGTTTTGAAAATCCAGCTGTGAACTCTGCAATTTCAAAACATCCTCAATGACTTGGAAAGAAATGTGTGTTTTTTGGTATATCTTTAAATCTCAAATCATGTTAAACTCTACACTGGTCCCATTTAGTTACTTCTTTTTCTCTTTTGTTGGCAACAAAATCAAACCTCATTAGAGTAATGGATTGGACAATTGCAGCAGTTTGTCCTCTAATGCATTTTAAAGGGAAAAAAAAAAAAAAGTCCATTTACTGTGTGTTTGAATTCTGGACACTGGGAACGCTCTCTGCTCTTTAAAGGGCATTTTGGCATTTTAACCTGAAGAATCTCTCTCTGGCAGATCTGTGTGTGTGTGTGTGTGTGTGTGTGTGTGTGTGTGTGTGTGTGTGTGTGTGTGTGTGTGTAGGAGTAGTTATTATTGTTTGTATTACTCTGTATTCTGCTGACACAACTCAACACTCTCACTTTCACCCTCTTTCTTCCTCTCCTCTCATTTTTTCCATCCCCCTTATCTTTCTTCTGCTGTCATTTTCCCTCCCCTTATTTCCCCAGCTCTCGTCTCCCTTCTTCCTGTCTCTGTATGTCTGCCCACATCAAGTTGACTAGACAGCAGGTGTGAACAGACAGACAGGCAGACAGAAAGGGAGCGGCCTGGATTCAGTTTCGTCCTTCTGGATCGCTGTCATTTTTTCCCTGAATGCTTGGCTGAGAGAGGCAGACTGGAAGAGGTGGATTAAGGAAAGACAGACAAGGAAGAATGACAGCTGGAGGGATTTAGTTAATGGATTTTTAATCAAAATGGAATTAAAGACACACACATATAAGGATGTTTGCACTAATAAGCACGGATGTTTGTAGAGATTTGTATCTATCATCACTACAACCAGAAAATGACCTCAAAGTTGTGGGAAATACGCTGTTTTGCAGACCATCAGACCATTAGATGAAAATATGAAACCACAGCCAGGAGACAGTTAGCTTAGCATAGAAGAAAGACTGGAAACATTAGAAAACAAAAAGCCTGGCTCTTTCCAGCACAAACAAAATCGAACCAAACCAAAGGCTAAAAAACGACAATTCCTTTGACCAGAGCCAGACTAGCCTTTTCCCTTTGCTTCCAGTCTTATACGTTATATCTCATTTGTTTAATCTATGCAAAAAGCACAGTGTAAAAAACGTTGTGGTTTTGTTTTTGTAGGTTATGTACAGCACAGTTTTTTGGGTAGTCACAGCAACTTCCTGCAGTGCTTCTTGTCTTTATGTTAAGCTACACTAACTGCCTCCTGGCTGTGCAGTAGCTTCCAGAGGTAGAAGACGTACAGAGATGTTTTACTTAAGTAAAAGTGCCAGTGTAGAAATGCTCAAGTGAGTCCTGCATCCAAAATGTTACTTGCAACGTAAAAGTAGACAAATAGTTAAAGTTTAAAAGTAATAGCCCATTTGAGAATATATAAATAGTTTATAATTAGTGATGTTTAAAGGGTGAATCACTCTAATATATTAATGTGTGATTTACTTCAATGGTAAAGGTGGGGTTAATTTTAAATACTTCATACTGCCGCTTTATACTACTACTGCTGGGTAGCTTAATCTATAATAATAAATCCAAATTTATTTGTTGTTTTGTATTAATAATCTCAATTTAGTAACTACAGCCTTTGAAAGCCATCAATATTCTGGTTTGAACATCTGACTTAACCAAGCGTAGATATAGAAAAGTTACAGTGACATTTTAAAATGCTGTATGACAGGATGCAGGGTGCTGCCTTCAGGAAACTATTCAGAGGAGAAACTGTGATATAAATAGTGTCTCATGCTCTGTTGATCGCCGCACACTTCCCCCAGCGGTGGTAACGCCAGGGAGTCGGTACAACAGACGTGAAACGGGTTTGACTCAGCGCTCTGACAGACGGAGGAGGCCGACATGTGATAAAGACTGAAAGGGACAGAGACAGAGAGTTCTCAGAGGTGTGAAAAATATTTTAGATGTGCTGGAGGTGAAGATGGTATCTGTTTGTTTATGTCTGCAACGAGCACACACATACACGTCTGTACAATGTGTGACTGTGTGTATGTGTGGTACCTGTGCCAGACTGTGGTTACTTAAGATCCGAGCACTGTCCAGGGAGGCAGAGAGGTTTGTTTATGTGTGTGTGTTTTCTAGTTACTTACCAGGTCCCTGCTCCTGTGTGTAGCTGGGCGAGTGGTTGCTGTGGGTGTGCAAGGATTGCGCCCTCTGTTGGCGGGCCGAGTCGCATGTCTGGTTGGGATGCCAGGCCTGTTTGCAGTGGTAGCAGAACTCAGCGCCGCAGCCTTCTCTGCGACACACCAACCTGGGACAGCTGGCACAGCCTGAGGCGATGACGGCAAACCTGATAGGAAGTGACAGACAAAGAGGGACATGTCAAATCAAGAAGTCAGAAAAAAAAGACAAGGTTCGTTGATTATTTTGAGATAGTTGACAATCCTACAGTACAGTAAAGCTCTATTGAGCAGAATTATTTATGTTGACCTTGAATCATTAGACTAATAGTATTGCTGATCACACTGAGAATCAACCATTTGGCTGCCCCAAATTTATACATCTGAACATCAGCCGGACACCCATATCTACAACTATGGGAAGCTATCGTATTAGCAGAATCGCACAATCCAAATTTATATGACTCTAACAGAGAACTTCTTTAGAAAAGAGATGCGTCAGAGTCATAACACCTTGGTACAGCTGATGATGGTGCTAGATGACAAACGGAAGGAATCACCAGTTATTACAACTCATCCTGAGGAGGACATGTCTGTACCAAACTTCATGGCAATCCATCCAATAGTTTTTGAGATATTTGGTGATGGAGTCTTTCTGTCCCCTAGTATTCAAAAATTACCTTATCTCTAAACTTAAATTATTTAATTTGACCCTTTTTCCACACTGTACAACTGTATCAGAGTAAAACATTCAAAAACAAGCCACCAAGTTTGGCAACATATTACTTAAAGGACCAGTGTGAAGGACTGTGTGATGTGAAGTTTCAGATTTCAACCCCTTCTACCCAAGTGACTGGTTTGCCTGTTCCGGGCTACTGTAGAAGAAGAGTCACTGCCTCTGTAGATAAAAACGGCTCATTTTAAGGTAAAGAAAACACGATTCCTGAATTCAGGTGAGTATACACTCATGAAAACATACCTATGAATATCTATTCCATTTCTGCCAATATATCCTCCTAAATGGAACGTAACTGTTACCTTTAGTTTCTAAGAGACGTAGATTTCCAATATGGCCACTAATGGGCACATTACAGCCTGAAAGCTCTCTGTAGACCGAGAGGACAGAGACAAGATTTGATCAATGGAGTAATCACTAAGTAACAACACTGAAAGAGGAGCGGAAAAAGACATGATGAGGTCATTCAATATTGATTTCACAAAGTTCAATATTGAGAAAGGAGACAGAGAGGGAGAGTGTTCACTGTGATCAAACCAGCAGTTAATTTGTGTGAAATTTTAACTTTCATTGCATGGACTATGTTATGCAGGGGGGGACAAAATGGGAAAATCCACATTACTGGTTATGGATTATTTTGGGACTCAATAAATTGGAGTGAATCATGAGAAAGTAGCAAAAATGTTCATAAATCATGCAACATTAAGATATCCCCTGAGAAAATCACTTGTTCCTTAGCCTGTGGTTTAACTTCAATTCCACTGAAATTCCTCATGTTTCTGGAATATCCCGCCAACAATCAAACACAGACACCCAAAACTAATATAGCTTTCTCTGTGGAGATAAAAACCAACAAAGCTAAATTGTTTTCTGGTGACTTCACGAAGAATACATATTCTCAATGCAACTACACCAGACCATTCTTTTGTTGTGTACTGAAGTTAGGCCAGCACACGTCAAATAATGGTAAATATAGCAAAAAGAGTGGAACTTTGTAACAGTAAGGACAGAAAAGGCAGTTTAAGAGAGAGAGAGAGAGAGAGAGAGAGAGAGAGAGAGAGAGAGAGACAGAAATAAAGGCTGTCAGTCACTGAAGAAATCACAAAGGAGGCCAGTCATCAAATATTGTCACCGAACTAAGTGGGAGAAAACATGTTGGAGGAGTGATAACAAAAGCAGACAGGGATTTTAACATTTTGTGCCTTTTGTCTGCCCTGACAAACAAAGACGATGCCAGTTTTCTGCACGGATGTTCAAGTTATACTATTAAAAGGAAGAAGAGCCTTGAAGTAGCGATAACATGACAAACTTGTAATTGTTTTGGCACGCCTCCAACATGTCGGCCCTAACATGTCCCTCATTACCACCTCTTCAAACACCATGACAGGCCTGTTTTCAGGACGGAATAAATTAACTAATATCAGAGGAGTTTGGTTTCTCAGGACAAGATGAGACAAGAACTGGCATTCCTGTGGAGACACTTCAGCCTACATCTGTGAGGATTTTGGCATCACTTCTGTCTCGGAACATAGATCTACAAAAAGTAGCTTCTTCTGTAATGATGGTCACTAAACTCACTCAATGCTTAAAGAACTGTATAATATTCCAGGAAAACGCTTTGCATGATTTTCGCCAACATCAGCGCTCTGGTTCAAGCTCGCAGAAACAGATCAGCAGAGTTTCAAATGAGTAATCAACGAGCTATTCACAGGAAAGCCTTTTTCTTAAACATTTCCCCTAACCGCTTCCCTTTTTAAAAACCGCTTTGTGAAAACTCCTGTTTTCCCTTTTGCCAAAACCCCATTTTCATCACTGTGTCCTTGAAGTTCCCTGTGCCTGTCTGTGTGGTATTGTCCACAGGAAGGAGGAGAGGCATGAACAGGTGGAATGATCAATAACATTGTATTTCAGTTCATCCAAAACTGGTCAAGATGTTTATATCAAAACTACAAATGTGAACCTCATGGTTGCACATGAACAGGAAACAGGAAATTCAGAGGATAACAGGTCATTTGGATTCATCTTCTTGGAAAAATTTATTTTTGAACCAAATTTATTGCCAATCAATCCATCAGTTGTGGAGATATTTCAGTCTGGACAAGCTCAGTGGACGGACAGACAACCGACTGACATTAACATCCCTAGCTGTGCCACTATAAAAACAACCATAGAACACGAGAGACATAGAGCAAATGTGTGTTTGTGCTCTTCATCTGGCTAACTCTGGACTTGTTGCGGTACAAAACACATGTTGCCACGACAGCTTTTTCCTGGGAGAACATCCCACATCAGTGCTGTCTCATGATTGGTGGACTCCGGTGAGGCACTGAGAACAATTTGTGCTGACATTTCTAGGATGGGAAAGGAAGAAAAGGATAAATAGGAGGAACAGAGATATAAAACAAAAGGACACACATGGAGGGTAAGAGGGGCATGTGAGATCGTGTAAATGTGAAATGCAACAAGACAGAGTCAGAGAGAGAGACGAACGAGAGGCAGAGGAGTTTTATGAGTGCTGACGTGCTGCGTGTTGAGAGGAAACGTGCACAGACAGTCCTGTCAGTGTTCAGCTCCACCAAGAGCCACCTTGAAATCCTGCTGAGCCTGTAAAGGCAATGTTACACACACAGATGCACTCTAATAGCAGGCTGTATTTAACACCAGGATGAACTGAACGTGCGTCAGTCTGACTCGCATGAAAAACATGAAAAACACACGTACACATTACGTGTCAGTCAACAACAAAGGCACAAAATTCAGAACAATGACACACACATGCACACCGAGTCCAGAGAGTTCATATTGATCTGTTTAATTAAGTCCCAACTCCTGTTACCCCTGGCAACGCTCCCTCTATGCCGCATCGATAGTCGCCATAGCAACTGACAGCCAGCGGAGATGGCAGAGAGGGCCACTCTTTGTTCTCACTGGATACTCAGGGTTGACAATCACACAGGGCGAGACCTTATTGGTCGGATGGGAAGAGCAGGTCACAGGTGAACAATTGTGTTGTTATGCTGGTTAAGATGAGAAGTCAGATAGATTTTCCAGAGCTGAAGTGGATCATTTTCTTTTCTTTTGTCCTTATTCCAGTGAAAAGACGCTGAAGCCAAAAGACAAAGGACCTAAATGTTTGCTCTGTATGTGTCACAGTTTTGGTTGTAGATATCTATCTTAAGTGGTGCTGCAGCCAAGTGAGCGTTCCTGATGTTTATCAAAGTGCCTATGTTATCATATTTTAAAACTTTGTTTTTAAAAGGTTGAAGCAGCTTGAATCCTTTTTTGGCCTCTTAGGGACAAAGCCAAAGACAAAACATTAACATGTTATCTCCTTATAATGTTGGCACAGTCAATGTTAAACAGCTGTTTATCCACACATCCAGCAGACACAAAGCAACATTATCGTTCATTTGGATTTGTGTTATGTCTACGTGATGAATGATGTCCAATATTCCCTCTGCTTTTAGCTCTCCAAACCACTGTTGGGAAATATCGGACTATTCAGCTGCTAAATGCTCCACTATGTTCATCTGCTAATCGCTAACTGCATCTGATTGCTGTTTGGTGATGAGCAGTTTGCGTACACTGGGTTTTTAGAGCGCGATAGAGAACAGCACACAGTTGATGACGAGTGAAGAAAAGCAGTAAAGTTGCAGAGAAAAGCAGTAAAGTTGCAGAGAAAAGCAGTAAAGTTGCTGGCCGTAGAACCAAAACAATTGACCAAAAGATGGTAAAACGCTGCATGGAGCTAAGAGGAACTGCAGCAACCCCTCCACATTACAAATAGTCATGTGATCATTTGTAACTGCCACTACAGTGGCTCTACACAGTTTGGAAACCACTGCATTTGCATAAACACTGATGTGTGTTGTCCTCATAAATAAATAAAATAAAATAAAAATGAAACATAAAGAATAAAAAATTAGCAGCTATCTCCTCTCAACCTGCTTGAAAAGTCTGCAATGAAAAATAATATCTTTGTTTTTTGTTTTAATGGTCTAATAACCAGACTAGTGAGGATTTAACTATCTGCAGGAACACTGTACAACTATATATATATTTTTATCAGAATCAGAATCAGAATCAGGTTTTCACATACAAGGGGAATTTGCCTTGGTAAGTTGGTGCATCACAATAAAGCATAGAAAAATAGAGACAATAAGAGGTCAACAAAATAAATATACACAAATATTAAAAGAGGGAGAGAATTTGTACAATATGGCCGGTTACTTAAATAAACAAGTGAAGAGCTGTATAGAAATGTGTTAGCAGTGTGACATATAATTTTCAATGAGCAAAGATAATATAATGATAATAATAACAATATCATTAATCTATTGTTTTGTAATGTATCTAATAGGATATTACTGGGATATAAATAGGCAACCATTGCATTGTGAACTGTATCTGGACTGATTGTATGTTTATCTTTCACTTGTCAGTTACTATCATACACAGCCTACTGGATATCTTTCAAATAAGATAAGACAATCAAACCAGGTTACAAACCCCCCCCCCCCCCCCACGCACGCACACACACACACACACACACACACACACACACACACACACACACACACACACTATAACCCATTCTCAGCTATAAACACTCCATTCACAGTGATACTGAAGAAATTCACACCTATTACACAGTTTCTGTGGAAGCAATCTCTCCAGTGACCGACAGCTGCCAGGTGTGTGTGTGTGTGTGTGTGTGTGTGTGTGTGTGTGTGTGTGTGTGTGTGTGTGTGTGTGTGTGTGTGTGTGTGTGTGTGTGTACATGCATGCATGCATACAAAGCGGTTTCTCTGTCTTCAGCCTGGCCTGTTTGTGGTGAATAATAATTTGAACTTCTGTCTGATTTAAATAGGTGGTGAGTCACTGCTGGTGTCAGACGATCAACCAGGTAAATATGTAGGTCAGCAGTCAACCTCGCCTCTTAAGAAACTGCTGATGCAAACACACACTTTGATTTTAGTTCATTTTGATCAGGAAATTGTATTGACCTAAATTCATCCTGTGTGTGCTTAACTTAACCTTTATAACCTACAAGACTAACAGCAACCAAAACCCATCCCCAAACCCAACGGCAACCCTCAAATGCTTATTTTTGTCTATGGGGGCTGGCTAGAAAGTACAAAGTAGCCTCAAACTGTCCATTCAGTGCTTCTTGAAAATCATTTTCATCCCTACCATCACCACAACTCACAGATTTATGCTCCTCAGGCTCAGTCTTCAGCTGAACGCACAGTACACTCTTACAAAAACAAGGAACTGTAAAAACGGAAATGGATGTTTGCTGTCACTCAGAGCTCACATGGTTCTGTCGGTGGTCTGACAGACGGTACAAACACCAAACCTAATTAAACTGAAAAAAGATCCCCCCCCCATATCTAAAGAGTTTATTCTGCATATTCACTTCACATGAAATGTATACCAATGGCCTTCAGAGAATACAGCAATTCATTTTGATTCTGGTGTGGCGTGACCCTACATCTGGAGTTACTGTCAAGTCTAAGTTTCTCTTTGATAAAAACAACAAAATATTTCATAAAATGGCCAGAATTTTGTGTGTGTCTGTGTTGGTTATTCTTGGTTCCTGTTGGGTGATCATAAGATCAAAATGTCTGACTTCTAAACAGGAAATATTAAAATCAAACAGATAGCCAAGACACTAAAATAAGCACCTTAAAGTGAGACTGTGTAACCTTTGCTTTTGCTGGTGAGTTTACTTTCTGTTTTACTTTTGATTGCTTATAAAAATGTACAAAAGTTTATATTGTGTTAAAATGTGTTATTTCTTCTTTGAAAAGTCACACAGTTCTGTTTTAATGCTCCTCCTCCTGCACGAAATATCTCATCATTTAAAGGCAGGTTGTCAGGATACTTGCTGAGCACATTCATGCTCCAATGGGGATACATTCTTTTGATTTTAATGACCCATTGTCAGGGATGTGATGATACACTCGACTCACAAGTCAATAAAATTAATGATACTGGGTTCCCAATACTAAAATTATCTTATATTTTCTTATAGCATCCTTTTGTTTTTACCTCTAAGGTATGGTATACACTGTGCAAAAACATTGCATATTTTCTTTTGTGAAGTGAAACTGATGTCTTTGATACCACAATTGATATCATGATTCATTTTCATCTCACTGATTTGAACTTTCACATATTTGTTTTTCGATTTACCTGTCTCTTATCTTTACGTTCCTACCCAAAGCTGTTGAGTGTTCCTAAATGTCTGCCAGAAACATTAAAATTCTACCCTACAGTTTATTTTTTACATCATTCATGTAGGGGCAAGGACCCAGTCATAGAGAAACAGAAACAAACAGAAATGCACATATATTAAGGCACATACAGACAGATTTGTCCAAAGATATCACACAGACGTTTTGGCCTTCCCCTGTGACAATGCCAGTATAACTGAACAAAACCACAGCAGAAAAATATCACAGAATATCTGCGTTCCTCCTTCCCACACACACATACAGACACAGAAACAAACACAATGAATCACTCCTGCTTTCTATGATGAAACAAACGCCTCTCATTTGTTCCAGAAACCTAACGAGAGCTGCTCTACCTCCAAACCAATCTGACTCTCCCCTCCTGCGACCACAAGGCGAGCTTTACAGCCCTCTAACCCAGTTACGGTCTCTCTCCTCCACTTTCTTATTCGACTTCCTCAGCCCTTCTTTCTCTCTCAGAGCAGGCCACGCTGTTTTCTTTAAGCCAGACAGAGAAATACAGTAATTTATGTGGATTGTGAAGCAACAGTGTTCATTTGAAATCCAGGCAATTACAGCAGAAAGAATGAAGAAATAACCTAACTGCAAATGAGCGAATGAGTCAGAGAGAGGAAAAGACGGAGAAAGAGGAAGAGAAAGTGAGGGAAAAGGATTAATAGGCAAGTAGAAATGATGTTAAACCAGATGATAAAGCTGTGACTTCTTCCATTTTAGTCTTAATAAACACTAACTTTGTTTATTTGTCCAGGCTTATAGAAACTGATCTCAATGTCATTAAGTTCTTTCTCAGATATGAAACTACTTCCAGGAACACTTACTGAATTGAATACTGGCTTTCCTACATTTTCCCTTTTTGTCTCACTCATAATAGTTTAGCTTCTGTTTCTCACAATCACTTGTTGGTTTATATTAATTGCACAAGGTGAATTCCCTCAAGGGCAACAGGATTCATTTCAGTTCTGGCACAAACCTTTGAGCAAATAAGAGATAAGTGCTGTGAGCTCTTTTATTTGTGTGCCAATCAGATAACTCGATAACATCACAGTGACGGGAAAATGGAAACAAATTAACCAGAAACTGGCAGCAGTTGGCAATATATCATTTCTAAAAATAATGTCTAAATGTATGTCTAAAATATCAAACATTCACTGGTTCAAGCTTCTCAAATATAAAGATGTGTTGCTTTTCCCTGTTTTAGATGATTGTAAATCAAATATAAAATATAATTTGGTTTTGGGTTGTCAGACCATCACAACAAGCTATTTAATGATATCAACTGGGGCCTTCAGAGCTTGTGACAGACCTTTTTCACAATATTCAGATTTTTATAGACTACTAAACGATTGCTCACACAAATATTCGTTTCAGATAAGCCGGCCGTGCATTAGATCATCAACACCTTAAATAAAAGACAGCAGTGAGGACAAGGCTGTAAACATTGTGGAAAGTTTCTTA